GCGCACTTCGACGCCCTGCCGCTGGCAGGCATGCTGTCGCCGCCGTCGGACGGTGGCCCCCCGTCCCCGCTGTTCCCCAAGGACGGAGTCATCGGGTCGGCGGGCCTGCTCCAGATGCTGCTCAACGCCGAACGCTCGCAGGAGCTCATCTGGAACAGCGCCAGGTGCGTGGCGCCGGGACACGTCTTTTTTGGCCGCGGTATTGTCGACTTTGGCCACTATCGTGGCCACTATAAATGGTTCGCACTGGCGTCACATCGGCGGCCATTGTGGCGGTCTTGCCGTTGAGCCGGTACCTTCAGCACCCTACATTGCGCGTGCACCATTTATTTCTTGGCAAGAACAAGTAGGCCCGACCACCACCAGGTTGCGATGACGTCACGTGCAAACCGTGTATTGACACTAAAAGGGCAAGGAGCGCAGGGCGTCTTTTTCTGATGTCCAGCCTGCAACACGCGCTCATTGCTCTTCGTCGTGCTTTGACTGTGCGCGCACTGTCGAACCTTACGAGACGTTGAAGTGCTACGGAAGTAGGATGGTCGCTTTGGCGGAGCGACAACCGAAGTTCTTTCCTTTCGTCCTTCATCTGTTAGTCTCCGATGAGATAAGAACGGTAAGGAGGTCTTTTTGTTTTGTCCCGCTGCTAGTGCGAGCACCCTACCTTCGGTCACGCTTCGGCTTCTTGTGAGCTTCGAGCGTGACCGTGCAGTTGTAGCATGACGTAAAGCAGCATCGAATGAGCCCTGGGGCTTGACATCTCAAAGAGACGCCTCTTGGTCCTGTCATTAATCATAATTTGTTACAACAAAGGATTTGCAACGGGAGCTCCGCTTCCAGCAAAAGTTTTCTACCTTCGATAACACCTCGGCGCACGAGCTCAAAGTCACGATGTTAGGCAACGAGCACGTGCTAGAGGCAGCATCTCAACATGCCCTGCGTTTCTGGAGCTGTCAGCGACTATGCGCATATCTATAGACGCTTTGCAGCAGCTGCGCATGGGCGCAGCAATAACCGACCTTCAGTTTTCACCTCTTTTTTTATCACTTAGTTCCATCATTACCACAGCAGGACAGGTTATTGCCATTTTAGATTCAACTGTGTCATTCTATCCAGCACTGGCCTTTGCGAAGACTCATGTCAAAAGAAGCACAGCCATGGCGGCTGTAATCTGGCACGTGTGCAAAGTGTCAATGCACTCTAAATAAAGCAAAGCGAAAAAAGAAACATCTTAAAAATAAATTTATTTATATTGTCTTTATTTAAACAGATTAATTTGATGTAAATAACTGTAATTAAAATAAAGTGATTCTTTATTCCTATATGCATTTCGAAACGTCGCATATTTATTGATCATTCGTTCGATCATTGAAAATAATACAAAAAAAGGGTTATTCTACATATAAATTTTCTAAAGAACCGTTTAATTAACAACTTTTTTATTTATATAAACCCGCCATAATAGAACGAAAGCAGCCTATTACAGTGGAGCTGTTAAGGGCCAGTTTCCCGAGGATCGTGTCCGGTATCAAACAAATGTCGAGACAACACTATGGTTGCCGCCGTCGCTCATACAGGGCGGTAGCTGTCCAGAGTGTTGTGCTGGGTGTATCTCGAAACAACCCATTCTTATTTGAACCCTTCTCGTTTGAACCCATTCGCAAAACGCCCTTCTCGTTTTAACCTTTCGCGTTTCGATCCTTTCTTATTTATACCCGTCTCATTTGAACCCATTCTCATTTGAACCCTTCTCGTCTGAACCCATTCGCAAAACGCCCTTCGCGTTTTAACCTTTCGCGTTTCGACCCTTTCTCATTTGAACCCGCTGTCATCTGAACACCGTAGTGACGTATATAAAGAAGGAAAAACAGTTAAGGATGAAGGTTGAAGATGAAGCGAAGCGGCACCATCTCTTGCATAGCATATGAAACAATTTTCCTTATGCCTGCGTGCCACCCCGAGTCTGTTGACGTAGCTACGTGGTCACATGGTGACGTGGTTTCAAAAGTGCTAGCGCAGATTCGGTACTTCATTTCTCTTCTGTCGTTGTATGTCGTAAGATGTCGTCGTGTGGAGCGGATAAATCATTGTGCTAGTCATGTGTTATTGCTTGTAATGGCCAATTCGGGTGTTCATTTTCCCTGAAAAAAAGTTTCCCCATATCTTCGGCAAGGGCGTTCGTGTGGTCAAAGGCTGGCGGGTGCAAGCTTTTCGGGTTGCGCTTCTCAGGCGTGTACCGGCAATTTACCAGCAAAAGTTTTCCCGAGCTCCAAGAGGTCGGGCAGCTTGTCTGCCAGACTGTATCCAGTATCGTCAAGTCCGAATCGGGATAGGGAACCAAACGAAACAATGCTCGCTGAGGCAGCAAATAGCGGGTTCGAGTGGCAAACGAAGCCATCGAGACAGGCGCCCTTTTGTGCTCTGAGACAAGATAGCAAAAACAACGAAGAGAAATATAATTTATGTTTCAAAGAAAGTCAACATTTTTGGAAGAATTCATCCAGCCTGAGCAAGGTATGTTTTCTCTGAGACACGGGCTGCATCATACATCACTTTATTTTACAACTCTGTAATAACAAGTTATTACACTGCTGAAAAAAAAAGTATGCATAGTGATGTAGTTTGAAACTTGAACACGCATTACAATTTCAAGGAGGGTGGGTTCAATGAGAAGACTGAGGATTCCAAAAAAGGTACTAGAGAGTTTTAGTAGATCGTTCCGATACCCCCGATAGCCCCGATAACGATACTATGCGTGCGCAAGGAAGGCGGTGGCGGAGTATCGGTACCGTTATCAGAGTCATGGGAACGATCTACTAAAACTCTCTACTAACAGTAAACAGAATATGGAAAGCGACGCTGGCAAGCGTCGCTTTCGACTTCGGTACGTTTGGATTGTCGACAATTGTCGACGTTGTCGACGTTTGTCGACGGATTGTCGACGTTTGGATTGTCGACAATCCAAACGAAGTTTATTGAAATTTGACGCGCGTGCGGGCAGCACCACACTGATTTATACATCTGCCCTTTCATTGATTTTATATTTTAATATTCTGTCAGCTGCACGGACTGTGGTAATGCCAATATTTTGAAAAGTCTTGTGTAGCCGCTTCTGTTTACACACATCTCAAAGAGTCGTAGTTTATGTTATTGGCGTATGCAGCGCGCTCATGGTACCATAGAGTGATCGAAGAAGAAGTTAACAGAGCTCACTCGCGACCCAGTCAAATAAAAACGCCAGTTCATTGTGCTTTGCATTCGGGTGGAGAGGGTCAGGTGATGCGCCGCTGGCGCGTTTTTGGTCGCCGGTGCCACAGACAAGGGCTCGAAGGCAATTAATTACCTGAATTCGCCATAAATACTGCAGAAAGATTGCGAGATCATGATGTTGGATTAATTTGGGTTCGAAATGAGAGAGGTTAAAATGAGAAAAGTCTTTCTGACAATGGTCAAAACCAGAAAGTATGTTTTGAGAAAATTTGAAATGAGAAAGGTTAAAATGAGAAAAGTCGTTTTGAGAAGGGTCAAAACCCGAAAGCTTGTTTTGAGAACGGTTTAAATGAGAAAGGGAGAAACGCGAAAGTTGTTTTGCGCTGGGTTGAAATGAGAAGGTAAAAACGAGAAGGTAGAAATGCGAACGGGTTCAAATGAGAACCACCCGTTGTGCTTGCCGGTTGTCTGCTTGCCGCCTTCACCCATAGATCGCGGCAACCTTTCCAGCCTCGGCAACCAGACAACTGGTTGCTGCCGTCGCTCATAGATGGCGGCAACATTCCTCCGGAGGAAGAGCGGGAACGGAACGAGCGGCGATGTGCGCAGCAGCGCGAATGGTTCCGCAACCGCAGCGAGACCGCTATCGCCTAAAGTTCTACTGCGTCGAGCGCTTCAGACTCCCTTGCGAAAAAAGAGCAGATCGCTCGCCTGGAAAGCCACCGCCAAGATCAAAAGCTAAAATAATCTTCTTTTTTTTTTGCGTTTTAATTTGCTTGCAGTAGAATATTACGTAACTGACGAACGAATTGGAACGTAGAAAAGGTTAAATCCCTTATTTGCCCAGAGGAGCTGTTCGTGTTCAACCTCCAATAAATTGTCTTTTTTTTTTTTGGCTTTATGATTTTTTTTTATATAAATACAAAACAGGTGTACATAGAAAGCGAGACAAGCAGTTAATAGAGAGTTTTTTGGGCTTATTTCTGCGGGATAGTTTTAAGGCGATAGCGTTAAGGAGATCGTTTTGCAGGAAATCCGGTATCAGTGGCGTGACGAGAAAATCGCAAACAGGAAAATCCTGATTGGTCGATAGGGTCATGACGTCACAGCCACATGACCTCGCGCGGGAATTTCAAACAGCCCACAGCGCTCACGTAAAACGTGATGTCACGCGTGGAATGAAAGTGATTAAAAAAACATGACATGTAGTGCGAATTAAAGTCCGCCGAATATCTAAAATGATTTCACTCTATAAAGTAATTCATTTGCCTTAAAGAAAAGTTTCAAGAATTTTAGGGGGGGATTCAAACTCACAACTCCTCGCACGCTTGCACTGCTTGGGAAAGAGCTGGTGTTTATGTTTCACTCTCGCGTTAAAGGCGAAGCTTAAGCGTTTTCCAAGTTTTGATTTAAATCGTCATAGTAAAACCGACGCGATCTAAATCACGATTTAAATCGTCTTAATTTTTATTTTCCACCCTGATAAAGGTATGGGAGTTCACCTACCCAAAAACACAAAGACAGCCAATCATTATAAACAGCAAATGACGAAGCTCAAAATACGATAAGACAAAAATATACTTTCTGCTATAAGGACAGTGAGCATGACGTTTGGCTTGCTCATTGTACGAGCGCACAGAGTGTTTTTCTTCAGAACTAAACGTATACTGAGCTTCGTCATTTTCTGAGAATCCTCTATCCGTGATTGGCCATCTTTGTATTCTGTACGAAAGTGAACTCGCAGACTTTCTTTAGTGCGCATTTTCCTCTGTTGTCTTTCAGCCCTTTCGACTTCGTCACCGTTAGCGTGCAATAAGCCGCACAGTGTCCGACAAGACGGCCCAATGACACCTTCTTGTGAATGTCACGTCATGCAATGAGCGTTGTCCTCCCTCGCTACTCACCCATACAGGATGGGACCGAGCGGGATGAACGCGGGAGGGCCGTTCGCGCCCCCTTCGGGACTCGGTGCGAAGTTGGGCTCCGACGGCGCGCTGGCCAGCTCGGCGTTCTCGCTCATGTCGAGTCCCTTCGCGGGTCTGGACGAGGCCAGCCTGCGGCAGCGGCTGTCGGGCCAGCCGCCGGCGCCCCCCTGGGGAGGCTCCGTCCAAGAGGTCACCGCCAGGCTGCTCTTCATGGTCATCCGATGGGTCAAGTGTCTGCCCACCTTTCAGACTCTCTCCAAGGGGGACCAGGCGAGTGCAGCCGGCAAGAGTCAGACATGGCGGGAAAGTGGTTTTCTGCCTGCCACGATTCTTTTTTTTTTTTTTTTGCTTTGCAATGTTACAACCTATTTATAGACAATTCGTTCTCCTTTTTTTCTCGTAGCGGCCGCCATGTTGAGTTCCGCCGTAGTTGAGTTTGACTAAAAATAGTAAATCACCTTATTTGCCGATTGGAAGGTGCTATAATTTAAGAGGTTCGTACCAATGGTTCTACTATTCTCTGTGCTATTATTTCTTTATTGTAGTTAAACTTAAACTATTTACTCTTTGTCGCCCAATCCAACTACGTCATAGCTCAACATGGAAACCGTCACACGAAAACGAGATGGGCTCTCACGTTATGTTCCTGAGCATGATGAACATTAAAACTTCAGTTTCTTTTTTTCTTCACCTCTTACCCAGCTCCAAGGTAATGTGACAACTTTGGTCGGAAATTAAAAAAAAGAATAAGTCAAAGCCGTTTACAACTCCCTGTAACGCCGAATTAGAGCGCAGCTCTTGAGGAGGAGGAGGAAAGGGTACTGAAAGGAGGGTACACCCCTCCTCCTCCTTCTCCTCCTCCTCCCCTCATTCTCCAATCTCCTCTGGGGGGAGGGGGTCACTTGACCCGGGGGGAGGGGTCACGTGACCTCGGGAAGGGGGGGGGGGTCGCGTGACCTGGGGCACGTGACGTGGAGGGGTCGCGTGACCTCGGGGGGGGGGGGGGGGGTCACGTGACCTCGCGGTTACGCCGACGCCGACGTCGCTCAAGCCGGAAACGGGCCGCTAAGAGCTGCCCTCTAAAAAGATGGCAGTGTGCTTCATTTCTAATATCTTATAATGCACGAAATGCAGTATTTAAGGAGCGATTGTTTAAATTTATTTAGAGGACATAAAACAGTCGTTTCGGGGAATAAAAAAAAGAAGCTATATTTTATCAGTGTCAAACTTAGCGGGGAAATTGGCGCCACGTGACCTATGTACCAAGTCAGTTTCCTCGCTTAATTTAGCGAAGAAACTGACTAGGTGCATAGGCCGCGTGACGGGGGGGGGGGGGGGGGGGGGGGTTCCCTCATGTGATCCATGTTTGTGCGAATATGTTTTCGTACTCAAATTACTTTCCCGAAGATTAAAGATTAAAACAGAGCAAGGACACGGACAAGAACAAGAAGGTAGACAAACAAGGCGCTGACTTATAACTGAAGTTTATTCGTTCTAACAGCGAGTATAAATAAATACTGTATTGTCACAACAAACAAACATGAATAAAAAGCGTGACCTGGATGCCACGTTAATCATGAAATACCAACTAGCCCAAACTTCTACTTTAGTCAATTTCCCGAAGAGCATGATCGAGTCTGTACCCGTTCGTTACTACCAAAGTACGGGGCCTAAAAAATGAGGAGACCAGAAGTCTGTTTCCAAAATGCCATCAGCCAAGAATTCCATGAATGTGAATTGTATCGATCAGTGTCACTACGTAGAAAGCAATTTAACATAATAAGTGTATTAACCACCGCCATTTTCTCCCCCCCTCCCCCCCCCCCCCCCCCCCCAAAAAAAAAAAAAGCAATAAATCCAATAATTGCTACGCAAAATTGCTATGCTTCCGCATGGAGCGAGAAAAGCGACGAAATTCACCCGGTGGCGGGGTGAATTTCGTCGCTTTTTTCGCTCCATGGAGTACGGTCCCACCGTCAATACATCTTACAAAAAGACAATGTGCAGACACTGTTCGAGGCCTTCTTTTTCTGACGGTCCCATTGGTGATTCAAGAACTGTCTGCAGCCATGTCTGAAGCACGCATGGAGCAAACATGCTTCGAAGATGCTTCAGGTGTGTCCGTAGATAATTTTGTCATCATGTCGGAACTCCGTGTCTTTTGTATAATGTATGGACACTTTTATTGCGCCTTAAAAACGGTCAGAATCTCTCTTTATTCGGCGGATACACGAGGCGCCCCTTTCAAGGTCGACAGACTGACCTCCCGACATACAAAGCATTCGCACAGCATACTTAACTTTGGTGGATCAAAAGATTGAGCGCGCGAGCGAGCTGGGAATATTTTACGTGAATGAACCTGACACGGAGAAGGAGAACGAAAAGCAACACACACCGTCTCAGACTGCAGCTTCTTTTCGTCTCAGGTTCAGGCATGTGTATGTGAGTTGGCGTTTCAAACTACGGCCAAAGCAACGTTCAGTAGATCCCTGATTGGCCATTTTCTCTCTTGGGCAGGTGACCCTGCTGGAGGAGTCGTGGAAGGACCTGTTCCTGCTGTACATGGCCCAGTGGTCGGTGGCTGCTGACCTGGTGTCCTCCCTGCCGGGACTCAAGGGCGGAGCGGGAGCCGCGCTCCGGCTGCACCCGGACGCGCTGGCGGCCCTCGAAGGCTCCCCGCACCAGGGCGCCGAGCTCCACTACATCCAGGACGTGATGCGCAGGCTCAGGCAGCTCTCGCCCGACGACACCGAGTGCAGCTGCCTCAAGGCCGTCGTGCTCTTCAAGCCAGGTACAAATCAACCTTTTCTTTAAATATGTACCGCCACCTAGACACGGGACTGGGTTTGACTAGAAAATAACGCGCGCAAGGCCTCTCCCATCCGTTCGACACTCAAAACGTCAGCAATACCCTGCTTGCCCATTGAGCAGCTGTGACCTAGATACGGCTCCCCCAAACTTCGCTTTTGTTCGCATCGTGGGTTGTCTTCGGTCCCGAAGTTGATACAAAGAAATCACCTTTCCCCTCTGCTCGGCCAGAAGGAAGAGCTAGAGAGTACCATATCCATTTACTCTCAAACCGATATTTCTGAAGTAAAAAAGGCCCGTGGGGACGACGCGCACCTAGTAACAGTCAACTCCTGCTGAGTGGAAACTCCTCAATACCGCGCATCTATGACGGAGCCGGGAACGTATCTTCGAATTGTGTGCATAGCTTCCTATCCCGCCCATGCATCAAAAGTAGTCTTTAATTGGCCACAAATGGCGTCACGTGAGCCGGCGTGTGATGCTGTCGGATGTCGCGATCCTGGCGATCGGTCGTAAAATTTGCTGGCGAAAAAGGTGAGCGGACGCAAGTGCCACTGTCGTTGCGGCGTTCCATCTCGTGTCTTCTTCTCCTTGCATTAACCGTCTCGTCCCATAGGCATGCCTGCAACAGATTGGGCGCTTGCCCCCTCCGTTGCTGTGCCACCGCCAGGATCACGGCAGGCGACAGCGTGACATTCTTTTGACGTCGTCGCGAAGAAATCAAGAGACCACTTTTGAGGGCGCGAAACACACCAGCTTTAGCTCCCTCTAATCGTTCGAACCAGAGCTCGGCGTTCTGACGTCCCCACGCGCACTCGTCTCCTCCTCTCTCTCATTTTCTTTGTGCGTAGCAGATGTCCGCTTTATTATCGACAGCAAATCAGTATTCACTACTATGTAGGCGTAAGACGCGCCCCAACTCAAGAAATCGTGTTCTGCCGTGTTTTCAGTAAATCCCGCCGTCGTCACGAACACAGCTGATATTATTTGGCATTGGCAATTGAACTGGGACTGTTACCAGGCCCGGGACAGTTACAGAAACCGCCGCAACCTCACAAAATCACGCGCCCGCACACCTTAAATACTATTGTCCCTGACACGATGAGAATGGCAGGTTATCTCTATCAAATGTCGGGCCTTCGCACATGCTCGTTGCTTTCCGTCGTGCTTCGGCAATGCATGCAGGCTCGACGCTCACGATACACTGAAGTGTTCTTGAAGGAGGGAAGCTCGCGCTGGACGTCTGAAAGACCTCCCTGTCGTTCTAATCCTGTCAGTGACTATGCCTGGATAAGCATATTGGCCTGCCTCTGCCTCTCCCGCAGAAACAATCGGCCTCTGCGACGTGCACCCCGTGGAGATGCTCCAGGACCAGGCGCAGTGTGTTCTCGGAGACTACATCCGCCATAAGCACCCGCGGCAACCGACCCGATTCGGCAGGCTGCTGCTGCTCCTGCCCAGCCTCAGGGCCATCAGCGCCGCCACGGTGGAACGACTGTTCTTCAAGGACACCATAGGCAACATACCCATCGAGAGGATCCTCGGCGACATGTACAACATGGAGAAGGTCGACTGAAGTCGCCTGCAAGTGCCGTGATTTTGCTGAACGCTGATTAATGCCTCTTACGTCGTTCGGACGTGGCTAATGATGTCCAGGCTGGCTGCTGACGAATAGATATTGTAGTGGCGTACAAGGGGTCAAGGCTGCCGGAAGATCCGTCGCTTTGGACATCCGTCCCTCGGGCTGTGTCGGTGGCCGATCTTGGTCGGAAATGAATGTGTGAAGCTGTGGTGGAAGTTTCGGCTGAATCGAAATTACAAGGTCCTTCTCTGCGACAGAGTACAAAAGGGTAGAAATAAATGGCGCACAAAAGTGACGGACGAATGAAGGAAAAAGACAGCAGACGAGCTCTTGTTCGATCTCCCTGTCTTCTTCGTCTTTATCTTTTCTGTGCTATTTATTCTTCATTGTGAATCTCTACCGAACCTCATTTGGTTCTGCGCGCTTTCTGAATGAAACATATGTAATGACACTACTAGAGGGGTATCAATTTTCGCAATTCTCTTTGTATTATGATCCAAGTATCCGCGACAAGCTAAGCTTACCTCCTGTAAAAATCGCTCCTTATTACTGACACTACTAAGTTTGTGTGGCTTCGTTGAAAACAACTATTTTTTTCTAACTTTGTTCCAGTGAAGATGTGCTATAGTGCCTCAAAATACAACAGAAAAGCACAAGGTGCCAAGCAGCACAGTTTCATATCCTGGCCAAATCCCAAAACACATACCCTACTGTAGAAGAGTAGTAAGTTGGGCGAGTTGGTAAACGTTGAACATGGTTAAAATCGCGCATGGTTAAAATCCTCGTTTGTCCTCGTCTCTTTGTGCGCGATTTTAACCATGTTCACATACCCTACCCCAATCCGGATAAACGTCTCATATACTTCAACGTGTCAGAACTTACACGGGTCCGACGATGGTTTATCGCCTCTGGCATGTGGCATTATTGACCGGATTAAGTCGGATGCACTAGATTAGGTAGTCCTTTATACTTCAACGTAACGTCAGTGAGCGTTCGCGCTTTCTTCTTAAGCCTAGTCCACACATTTGTGTTTGCGCGCTACAGAACGCGTTGTGCTCGCATGCGACCGCTTACGACGCAAGAACACACTTTCTCATTGGCGCCATCTATCAGGAGTCCCTGGAACACACTCGATCTGAATATATATATATATTGCCTAATGTTTAGCACATCAGTATTTTACCGTAAACTTAAAATACTTCTGGCAATGTTAGAAGCGAGCATTTATCATAGATAGTGCGTAGATTTCATGTAACAAATACCGCACAACCTTCAGTTTGTTAAACGCAGTTCGGAAGAGTTCATTCGTAAGTGGTCACGAGCTCGCACAATACGCTCTGTCACACTCAAATGCAAATCGCCCCGATTCTTTCGTGCGACTCCTGGGGTCGGCTAGAATGATCCAGCTTGGCTCTGCAAGTTTTGGCGTTTTTTCGCCCTTGAAGGTTACGTTCTGATTGAGGGCCAGACGGACAGCAACGTTAAAAAGAGCGTGCACGGACGCCCTCTGACGCTAGGTTGGATTACTTATTAAACATCCTTAAGAGTGAGAAAAAAGACATCCGACTTCCCATGTCGTCTAAATTTCTCCCACTTGCATAAAAAAATACTATTAGGGAGTTTTAGTATATAGGAGAGCGGGCCCAGCAGGCGCGTGCTCAATCCATGCTTCAAAGTGAAGGGCACAAGCTCCCGCCCGCAAAGCGCAACTTTAGAATACGATCTACTAAAAGTCCATATTAGCTAAGTCCCGTCATGGCGGCAGGCATCAACTAATGCATCCCATTTTGAAAGTTTTAAGCTTACTGTGTTAGCAATTTAAACAGGGACATATTGACAGTTAACAGTCTCGTATGCTTTTCCGTGTCGATCGACTCGGATAAAATTATCGACTCCGATTTTGGATACATCATTTCTACACGCATTCGCATATACACATGGAGTCCACGAGAAAACCGAATCCTGTTTTTCGCACCGCAAAAATAAAGTAGACATCGCGGAGAGCTCGAACTCCGTCAGAACGTAGCCCCAGCCGTTCCTAGCAAGGTGGCAAAGTTTCAGCACTAACCATTATCTTACTCATTTCGATTTTCTGAAATTTTCAATAAACAAATGTCGGTCTACGGAGCTCTTTATGGCGCCAGAAAGCGAAAACGGGCAAAAATCGGCGCCATTTTCCTATTGAAAATGTCAGAAAGTCACTTATAACTTTTTGAATAAGATAACTGTTGGCGCTGAAACTTTGGCATTTTGCTCATACGGCTGAGGCTATATTTTGACGGAGTTGAGGCTCTCCACAATGTCTAGCTTATTTTTGCGGTGCGAAAAAGAGGGTTCGGTTTTCTCGCGGACCCCCGTACATCTCAGCTTGTGGGAGGCACCAGCCCTCGCAAACAGCGCGTACTCACCGAGTTCACCGCGTTCATGAAAACGAAGCTTATTTTGTGGTTTTGCGTCCACAGACTACGTCGTGTGTACCATTTTCGAAGAAGCATGGAAAGTCGTGTTCCACTACAAAGAGGTATTCGCACACCAATTACGGAATGGCGCAGGTTGAACTTCGTGTTGAACAGACTAGAAAGGCTTCCCGAAAACTAGCGTGAATCTCATGTTTGTCGGTAGGCAGTGGCGTGGTGCAGTTGAGTTTCGTTTATTTTTCATTTTCACTGAACCAAACATCGATAAAAAAACAAATTCTGCGAACTTCGCATTTTACACGCGCATTTCCAAGGTCCCCGCGTGCAATTTTCAGGAGAAAACTGCTAGTCAACAGTCATCTAGTGAGACTGTAGACCGTGAAAGTAGCACAACTCTTGTAAGTACAACTGAAACATTACGGGGAAGGAGTTGAGTTTCACGAGTGGGGCGTTGCTGCCATTTTTTTTTATTTATTTGTTTTGACGTGTGTACCGATAGCTGCACATGTATCCTGAACGCGATATTATCCTTTTCTTTTCAGCCCGCTAAAAGACTATCGTCGGAACTACCCGTGCGATGGCATGTGCTCATGTGCAGCATTAACTTCGGTAATAAAATATTGTGTTCGGTGGTCACCCGTGAAAGTAAATTTATACAAAGGGGCTACGTCGCATTCCTGCCTACTGTTCCTTGCAGCGACACGAATTGCACAGAAGTGTCGCTTAAGTGCACAGTGGAAACGTTTGATTTGATCATAGTCCCTCACAAAATGAAAACAGCAGGGCGTATCTTTCGAACGTTCGACCTCCAGCACGCGGTTCATGCCTTCCGCCGTGCTTTGGTTGCTTGAGGGCACTCGAAGTGCAGGAGACGCTGAAGCATTGTCGAAGGTTGGGAAGCTCGGGCAGGAGGCAGTGCAGCTGAGGCTCCTCCCTGCCGTTCTCTCCGTGTCATTGACTACAAAGAGCGCTTTGTCAATAAGCTATTCAATGAGCTTAAGTTTATCTAAAACTTGAGACCACAGACGGAGGAACAAGATGCGAAAAGAATAACATACGCACGCAGATGATATGCACAGGGGCGAATGCAGGAATTTCCAGAGGGGGGGTGGGGGGTCAGGTGTTGGTCAGCGTACCATTTGTTTAGGAACTCCTTCTCCCTCGTTTCACGCCCTAAATTTTACACATGCCGAATTTAAGAGGGGGGTCAGGACATCCGGACCCCCCCTCTAAATCCGCCCCTGGATATGCATGCTGTCCTCCTTTTTATGTTCATTACTTCTTCCTCCGTGGTGTCAGGTTTTAGTCGCGTTTGCAATTCACCGGCTCGCTTTTTGAAAACTCACACTTCTTTTATTCGAGCTTGTACACAGTGTAGCATTATTATAAAAAAATGTGCAGGTCGTATGTTTTATATATATATATATATACTGTATATGCATGCGAAATTTAAAACTAAAGTTCAAAATGACCTCGCACTATTTCTGCACGCATGTGACCAACTCGGGGAGGCGTGGTAGCTACTTTCGCTGCTTTCCGTAAACAACTTGATCAAACTAATCGTCCTCTTAACAACTTTCCCAGTGCAAGTGTCAATAGGGGTTCAAACGAAAACCCATAGAAAGTGTATGTTTGTGATTTTTCCGTGCAAATCAGCGGTGTGCATGGAGAACGGCGGCGGGGGGTTTGGTGGTCCAGTTTTTAAAGAAACGAAAGAGATCTTCGGCCGAGTCTATTAACGCTCCGCAGCTAGGAGCACGTGGAGCGAAAGCTCGCGCTGCACAACCCAAAATTCCTAGGTTCAACCACCACCTCCGCCCCTTTCGACCTGAATGAGCATCGTATAGACGCTTTACGCACGCGCAAAATTACAGCCACCATTGCTGACCTTCTCTTGCCTTTTTCATATGCCGAGCCACTGAAGCGAGCGTTGACAAGCCTCCACAGAGGCCAAGGCTGTGGAGAAGGACGCAATACAATCTAAAATATCAATAACCTGCCCTGCTGTGGTTATGATGAAGTGAAGTAAATGTAATAAGAAGAAACAAAAACTGAAGGTCAGTTATGGCGGCGCCCATGCACAGCTGCTGCAAAGCGTTTATACCGGCCTGCGGCCGTGCATCACTATCGCGTGAAGCTAGCAGTGGTACTCACTGGCTAAATTTCTCATCCACAGCGGAGACATGAGACGTCCACTGGAGTTGACTCACGTACGCTGTATAAACAAACACTTTTTTTTTCTTTCTCTGTAGACAACCAATGAGCTGCCGCCGAAGCCACAGTGGACAAAGTCTCGTAGCTTTCGTGCTACTTGAGATGATGACTTCAGCTAGATTTGGACGGGCACGGCCGCTACTTTTCGTGCGCAGAGAAATGGAGTGGCCGTGGCCGCGACTCAGCCAGTCGTACGCATCGTGGCACAAAGGTTGCAACGCCACTATCATCACTGCCGATTACGTGGCGCCGCTGCCTCAATTGCTTATAGTTCCATCTAGCCATACATCCTTCAAATCAAAATTTAAGATCATACACAGGGAAAGAAAACAAGAATCGTTCATTATATTCCTTATTGAGAGGTGCTTCGTGCGCTAAAAACTGACGTAACTCCCCGGAATGGAGATTTGTCAAATCTTCTCATTTAAAGTGTTACCTACGTACAAAAGTTATCTCAATTTGCATAATGTTTCGTTGAACCCTAAAACTTCAAATCGTCCAGGAGTGTCTGTAGTCGTTAGTATATGTTTCGATGACGTTAATAAAAGTGCCAGTACGACGTTAATAAAAGTGGCAGTGGCAGTACGCCGGACCGCAGAGAATGCCACGAGCCATTCCAGCCGCTCCAGCGCTGTAAACGTACCGCGTGACTGCGCACCCAGCACCTCGTTGCGGCCCTCCCGAAAGTCACGTGACCCGTATGGCGTTGGATTGGCTTCAATGGCTCCTAAGAGTCCTCTACGGTCTGCCGTTAAGTGAAACGAATGGAACCGCACAGTGCACACTCTTCGCCCTGTATCCGCTTTGCCAATGTCGCTTCTCAGCAGTGCACCTGTATCCTGCTGAGAAGAGACATCAGCAGAGCACACGGACGGCAACCGAGGAACAGGCGCTAGACGCGTTTCTGTCGGAAGGACTATTTTATTTGTTTAGGCATCATCAGCAGTGGAAAAATTAAGGGGGCGAGGGATGGGAATATATAAATATACCCCCCCCCCCCCCCCCCCCACACACACTCTGGTGTATATAATTTTTTTTTTTTGTTTCTGTCATGGGTTGATTT